AATAATAAAAAAAATTTTATAGAAAATCCCAATTAAGTTTATTTTTATTTACAAAAAAACGTTTAATTATTTATGTTGACAGAAAATACCTAAATATAAACCTTAAATGCTCAGGCAATTATTTACAATTTCTAAAAGGGATTTTAAAATTAATTGGATATTTTAAGCTATAAATGTACTTTCTTTATTAAAAAATTATTTTAAGTATTTATTTTTGAAATTTCCCTTTTAGAGATTATTTTTTTAATTATAGAAATTTAAAATCTGTTTAAGGCATTGATCAGATTATTCAGAAAGTAATTTTAAAAAGCGAACAAAAGACGAAAGGCGAAACTCGCACACCCCGGTTATTTATGTTATCAGTAGGGATAGGTTATGCGTTTTATGACTCAAGCTCCGGGCATTTAAAGATATTTATATCTCCGGATCTAGCTCCAGAAGCCATATAATTCTATCATCAAGATTTTCGATAATCATAATATGTCGATTAAAAAGTAAAAGTCGTCTAAAACCGGCCAGAACAGAAAACACCCCTAATTTAATTTAGTAAATATTAAAATATTTGAGAATAGTCACAGCATTTAATTTGTTAACCTCCTCATTCTGTCAACATAAATTAAAAAATACATTAAAATTTAAACAAAATTTAACTATCAAATATTTTAAAAAATTTCAAAAATATTTCCCAATATTAGCTTCAATTTCATCGGCTTCTCCAATTCAGCCAGATTCTTCAAAATTGCTTTCTTCCGAATTAAATTTAATGAATTCTGACAATTATAACGTTCAAAGTACATCAACATCAAATGAGTATTATGGCCTCTCATCTTCAGATATAGTAAATGATCGAGAAGAAAAATTATTAAAAACATTGGGATATCATAATAGACACAGAATTAAGTTGAAACAAAAAGAAGAAAAAGGAAGGGAAATTGAGGATGAGGTTGAAGAAAGTCAAAAAAGGGAAGAAGAGAAAGAAGAAGAAGAATTAAACTCTAGACAAAATTATATCCCTAAAGGGGGTTGGCCTATGAGAACCAGAACTTGGCCAGATGGAAGAAGACTTGGATCCGATGGACTCAAAAAATGGCAGAAATTGAGGCCTAAAATTATTCCACAAGAAGATAAAATTAAAGAAAAAACAAAAACAACAAAAACTTTAAAAATTTCCCCTTCAACGCCTTCAAATGCCTCTAATAAAATCACTCAAAAAACAACAGAAATGCCTTTACAACGTTTTACGGTCGATCCGGGTATTAAGCCTGGATTGCATTTTACTTTTGGTAATCAAATATAAATTTATATTACTGCAAAATTAATAAAAAATTCATAAAAAATTTCTAAGCTTATTAGAATCCCTTCTTAACTAAATTAACCTACTGTATTTTCTTAAATAATTGCCCTGGGTAACTTTTTAAACATATCGCTAGAGAGTAGGGTTGTCGGTTCTGGACCGAACCGAACCGAACCGAAGAACCGATGATTTTTCGGTTCGGATATCGGTTCGGTTCCGGATATCCGAAAATTTCAGGTTGAAAAAGGAAGAAATCAGTCTTCTTGTCTTCCAAAATTCTTAAAATTTTCGCCTGCGGCGCTGAAAAAAGAAGAAATCTGTCCTCTAGTCCACCAAAATTCTCAAGATTTTCGCCTGCGGCGCTGAAAAAGCAAGAAATCTGTCCTCTGGTCTTCCACTTTAATTCCCCTTGATCAATTCAGAACCCCTTTTATCACCCGATATCAAACCTCTTATATCAAACAAATTCTCTTACACCCACCACTAATCCTTAATAACATCTTAACCTCGAAAAAATTTTCGGTTCGGTCCCGGATATCCGAAAATTTTCGGTTCGGTTTCGGATATCCGAAATTTTCGGTTCGGTTCTATGGTTCGGTTCCGGATATCCGAAGATTTTCCAAGAACCGACAACCCTACTAGAGAGGATAATCAAGGGAGGTCTATCATTCGAGTTTTGATATTTTAAGGGGGGTGGGGAATCCTGATAAATTCGGGGGTACACTATTGAGGGTACTTAATCGGGAGAGTATCGATAATTAATCGAGAAAATACGGTAGAACCGTTTAAGATGCTTCTTTCCAAAGATAAATCTTAAAGGAGAATGTTACATAGCATTAATTTTAAAAAATAAGGATTTAGTAAGAGGAGATAGAATTATAATAGGAAATGTTATCTCTGATTAATTCTAATTATTTCCCTCTGAATTTTTGAATATCGATAAAATTAATTTAGAAAATTTCAAAATTATCACAATTTACCCTCAATTTAAATTCTCACTTACACAAATTCACCTAAAAGAATTGACTTTCTTTCCTAAACAAAATTTCCGTTTTATTGCACAAAAATGTTTTTTTGTTTTCCCTTTAATTTTTTATTAAATTTTTATCCACAAAAATAAAATCTAGATTTTATATTAAATGTTCTCTTTTCCTTAGTTTTTTTAAATTTAACCTTCTAATATTTTAAAATTTTGTTTTTATTAGTAAAATATCTAAAGTGCAAATAGTGCTGCTGGAGTCCTTAAAAATAAAGATAAAATATAGACAATCTATAACTATTATCTTTTATCCCCAAATCCGCGTATATCCTTCTTGATGCCCCTCAACAACTCTTGTTGTAGCTTATTATTAACTTTCAGCCCATATAATAATACCGGGTGCGGGGCGTTTCAGTTAATTTGCTGTATCTTAATTCTAACAAAAAATATTATTTGATTGCAGTGTGCTTATTTAGTTATAATACTATAGTTGTTTTTTTGTTTCTATCTATTTCTTTAATTTAAAATTTTATTTTTTAACGTTTCACAAATCCCAATAATCCTATTAAAAATATAGCTTTTCGAAATTATCCTGTTAAAAGTATTAAATATTCCTATAGAAACATAAGTCGATTAGGTATATAGATTAAAGAATATCCTACTGGGAACAGCTGAGCGTCTCTTAGCTAATTTTAGGTTTGGAACCTTCGTACCGATGAACTGATTTTTCGGTTATCGACTGCTGATATCCAAAGATTTTCCAAGAATAGACTAACTATTAATTTTTTAGTTTTTAAATAGAACCGGATCGATAAGCTAGATCGAGCTTTTTCCAGATATCTTGTACGACAGCTCCAGTCCATTCTAATTGATAGGTACTTAACGTATTTTCCTATAAATTATTTATCAAATCACTCTCAATTAGCTGAAATAAAATTTAAGAAACTAGGTACCTGTAACTTTATTCTTTTCTATTACTTCTCTTTCATAAATATTGTCAGCACTAGGGTTGTCGGTTCTGGACCGAACCGAACCGAACCGAACCTAAGAACCGATGATTTTTCGGTTCGGATATCGGTTCGGTTCCGGATATCCGAAAATTTTCGGTTCGGATATCGGTTCGGTTCCGGATATCCGAAAATCTTCGGTTCGGATATCGGTTCGGATCCGGATATCCGATAATTTCCGGTTGAAAAAGGAAGAAATCTGTCTTATGGTCTTCTAAAATTCTCAAAATTTTCGCCTGCGGCGCTGAAAAAGGAAGAAATCTGTCTTATGGTCTTCTAAAATTCTCAAAATTTTCGCCTGCGGCGCTGAAAAAGGAAGAAATCTGTCCTTTGGTCTTCCAAAATTCTCAAAATTTTCGCCTGCGGCGCTGAAAAAGGAAGAAATTTGTCCTTTGGTCTTCCAAAATTCTCAAAATTTCCGCCTGCGGCGAAGTATGTGGTATATCTGAGCATTTGCATAGATTAAGGTGGACTTTGAGAAAATAGGGAGGAATTAAATGAGATTATCAGAGGGCTTAAAGGGAATATTGAGAGATATGAGTGTGATATCGATAGATAGAGGTTTAGGTGGGACCCCTTGATCAATTCAGAACCCCTTTTATTACCCGATATCAAATCTCTTATATCCAACAAATTCTCTTATACCCACCACTAATCCTTAATAACACCTTAACCTCGAAAAAATTTTCGGTTCGGTCCCGGATATCCGAAAATTTTCGGTTCGGTTCCGGATATCCGAAATTTTCGGTTCGGTTCTTCGGTTCGGTTCCGGATATCAGAAATTTTCGGTTCGGTTCTTCGGTTCGGTTCCGGATATCCGAAATTTTCGGTTCGGTTCTTCGGTTCGGTTCCGGATATCCGAAGATTTTCCAAGAACCGACAACCCTAGTCAGCACTAATTAGTTAACATTTCTAGGTAAGAAAGTCACTTCTTTAAACGGATTTGCTAAATTATTTATCTCTCTTTCTAAATAAAATTAATTCTAGTTTTAAAAATATAACTGTTTTTTTAATTTTGCAGTAAAATTCTTTTTAAAATCTGATTTTTTAAATAATCCTTTACAATTTTTTAAACTTTTTAGCACCAACTCCAAAGCCTTCAACTAGTACAACAACTAGAAAAACTTTAGCTCCTCGCTTTCCTGTTGATCCTAATGATCCGACTTTATATGCCGTTAGACCAACGACACCAATGAACGGTGCTTCTCAATACGGAAATACTCCTACTGTATGTTAATAAATAATTTGATTTCAAGAAAAGGGATTGAATTAAACAAGGTAATCTCTGTGACCTCGAAAATCTCTGGTAACCTCTTCTCTCTGAAATGTATCGTCAAGATTATAACACATTTTGAAACTGAGACTGTCATTGAGATCTCGATATTTTTCAATAAATTACATTTAGTTTGATTTTTAAATAATTCTATGGCTATATAAATATCCGTTTATATACGTGGCACTTTTCTCCCTTTTCTAGATTCATATCCGTATCCACTCTTAACCTCATATCCGCATTTCTGCGGATATATCCGCTTCTTGACCATACAAATTAACTGCAGTAATTTTACCATTAAAAGATAATAAAATAATTTCAGACAATGGTTCCTTCTACCTCAAACAATCAATTAGGCAACGATAAAAAATTTTTGATTGGAGGTATCCTAAAATATTTAACTCTTTATTATCTGTATTTTTAGTCGGATCACTTAGTATTGTTGTTATGCTTGGTGCCATATTACTCTGTGTCTTTTTTAAACGCCCTCATCAGATTTGTGCGCAAATGGCAGCAGCGGCAGCTGGAGGAGGTCAAGGAGGGGCAATTGGACAATCATCGACAAATGGCCTAAAATCTGGATATACACCAATTCCTCCTAATGAATTCTCTCCACAAGTTCAACATCATCAAATGAGAGAATTCGAAAGTAATAATAATGGAGTTGGTGCTCGTGTTGGAACTCTTGTGGTAATAATTCTAATAATTTTTTATGACGGGATCCATGTTTTTTGTCTATCGAGACAACTTAAGTTCGGTACAAACTTGCAATCGAATCCAATCTCGAGGTCGAAAACAGCTTAAAAAATCAGCTCGAAACCAGTTAAAAGTGGAAACCAATTCGAAACCAAAGGCGAACCAAACCAAACTGACATTCGTAACCAATTGAACCCAAACTCGAACTTGAAACCAGTCCAAGTTTTTTGACTATCAAACTCCTCAAAGAAAGACCGCCGGATATACTGTAGTGTAGCACCCACTCCAAAAAATTTCAAAACACATACCATTCAATTTGTCTCGGCGAGCTGAGTTGAATGGTACCACTCTCTTTCTGCGGAAATGCCTAAGAGCTGAGATATAGAGCTCAAAAGGGTCAAAAACCATAGGGGGTACCAAGCTGATTTTTGGGGTCAAAAATTCGAATATGCAAATGGCAGCTCATTCGAAAGAGCTCGTAGAGCTGAGTCGAATGACACCAAAATCACCGTGATTGAACAAGATTAGACAAAGTTACGACACAAAAACAAGCAACATGAACCTATGGGGCGTCGGCGAGGCGCTTGTGCAAAACTCCGCGCTTCGCGCGGAGTTTTGCGGCACGCGCCTCGCGGGGAGTCTACGGGCGCTGGGTCTGGGCTCGTAACATAAACTTATGCCTATTTTAGCTGCGGTCGGCATGTCTGGCTTCCTCCCCAGCAAGAAAAACCTGCACGTAGACCAAAGGTAAGGAGCTAAAACAAATACTCATAACTCTGTCAAATCAAGTCGGATTTCGTTAATTTTGGTGTCAATCGACTCAGTTCGACGAGCTCTTTCGAATAAGCTGCCATTTGCATATTCGAATTTTTGACCCCAAAAATCAGCATGGTCCCCTCTTTGGATTTTCGATTTTTAAGGACCTATATCTCAGCTCGTAGGCATTTCCGCAGATAGAGAGTATTACCATTCGACTCAGCTCGCCGAGACGAATCGAATGATATGTGTTTTGAAAATTTTTGGAGTGGGTGCTACACTACAGTACAGCCAGACCGCCCACTCCCTAACTCCTCCCCCAACTTAAAACCCCAAAAATTCTTGAGTTATACATAGAATAATTTTACATAGGATAGGTCATCATATTGTGAATTGAAATATTTTAATTATTTACGCAAAAAATAATCATTTAAAGGGTTCAACCCAAAGTTTATTACGTAATGGAAGTGGAACAATAGGGAATGGAAACGGCGCTTCGGCTGTTGGATTTACTGATAGATCAGGGGCAAGATTCACAACAATATTAGCTCAAGGTAATGGAGGAACTCCACGAGAAACAATTGCAATTTCAAGAGAAGCTCAACAACCAAAAAGAGAATTTAAAGAGTGGTATGTCTAGAATTGAGGAAAATATTAGTAGAAAATAGTGCTCATTTCAATCTAATCTTAATTTTTTTGCCAGGAACTTTTCCTTACTTAAGTCAATTATTTAATTTTTTGTAATCTCACTTGTCATTAAAATAATATTCATTTTTATATTTTTTTTATTATTATGTATGTATAATTTTTTGCAATAAATACTAAATTATATTTATTGAATAAAAGAAAAAACTTTCTTAAAAAGATTTAACATTAAAAAATATTTTAAAATCTTCTATATAATTAGAGTCAAAAAATTTTGGTTATCGAGACCGGACAGTCTAATTTTAATAGTACATTTAGTTTCACAATTTAAATTTTTTCATTCTTCTTGGTTCTTATTTCTATCAGATCATATGGAAAAAGTGGGTGATAATTATTTGGCAATCTATCAATTTTATAATTCTTTAAATCTAGAGTTTCCTTCTTCAACACTTCTGCGTTTTTTCCATCTATCTCATCCAAGGTTCTCTCACTCGACAACACTTTATCCAAAATTTTATCCTTTCGAATAATCAATGGCGGCGGCTCCAAACAGTTATTTACAGACATATGTCTGCAAAACTTATTTTTTGAATTATATTTTGAAGAACTTGCTGGAAGTGTCACTTTTGTAGGAAGTGACAGTTGCTTTCCGATTAGGGTTTCCTTCAAAACCATTCTTTCGCTGCTATTTGGTGTTGCTTAATAAATGAAATCATAATAAAAAATTTAAAATTTATCTTAAATAACAACCAGATCGCGGTGTATAACTTGTCAAAACACTGTTTGTAAACATGATTTCCATGAAAACAAATAGTAAGGTAAGGGCGAGAAGGTGTATCATATTCATGGGATTTGCCTTATTGTTTTCGTTGAAGTTGGTTATAGTCGGATTTTTAGACTGGATTTGATTTCTTATAAATTATGAGTGATTTCAATGAAACCGATCCCGTATTTATAACCTTAAGAATGCCCTTTTAACGAGATTGCCCTTTTAAATAAAAAACAGGCAATATGAAAAGGGCAGGATTCATTAGCTATTTTGAAATGTTGGACTTGCTGTTTATTTTACAAAAAATACACATGAAATCAGAAATCCCTTTACATGTTTTCACGTGAATATGCATGCATTTTGAAGTTGATATTTCAAAATATGATGCAATATATGATGCAATATATAGGCAAGACTCACCTTTAAATGCCCTTTTCATCAACTTCAAAGCTTCCGTTGTTGACAGTTTTGAGTCGGCAATTTCTTAACAAATGTAGTGTGAATGTAGCGTGAAAGGGAATGCTCAAAGAAAAATACAAGGGTAATAAGGAAATATAATTTTGAAATTTAAAAAAAACCGCCCAGAGCGGCGCTAGCCACTCCTATAGAAAAAAGAGGAATAAATACGCGATTAATTTCAAAGAAAAATCATAATTACAATTCTCCTTTTCAAGGAAATCTAACTTTAAATTTAATAATTTTAAACTAAAATTATATTAATATTTCATTAAATTAAAAGAAAAATCATGAGTACATTCAATTCAATGAAAATTTTAAGAATTTGTCAATTTGTGTTGTTAGTTTTCCCAATTTTTATTCTACATGTTTCAAAAGGAGTACCTGTTGGAGTTATTCCTAATATTGCTCATTTACAAGGTGATTCTTTTTAAAATTTATAAATTCTAGTGTGGGAGAGGCAAAAGTTTAGCCGCTGGTAGGATCAATCCTACGATCTGCTGCAGTTTTTGTTAGACTATTTCGCTCAACACGTAGTAACCGTGTCTGCCACTGAGCTATCGGAGGCTGCATCCATCTCCTCCTTTAATAGATCTTAAACCTCCGCAATTTTAAATGCTAGACTACTGGATCTCTCTTACCCAAATTTTTAATTTATTAATTTAGCAAAGTTTCCAATTAATTACAACGCTGCTAGAGTCGTGCAAACACGAAATGGATCAGCTTTAAAAGTAAATTCATCAGCAAGCTCTAACAATGGACCTGTACATTTGGCTATGTCTAATCACAATAATCCCCATTCTGTAATTGTCTCACAAAACCAGAAACAATTTGTTAATCCAGCCTCGCTTGATAAAAAATTGCTGGTGCAAAATGCGCAACATGCGAATGCAAATGAGCATTATAAGCTTGAAGACAGAATTGCTACAAAAGGTGAACGTGACACTAATGTAGACGAAGAAGAATACATAATGAATGCATTGAGTGAAGCAATTACTACAAAATCTCCAATGAAAATAACCGGGATATATTCAAAATACTTTCATGGATTTGTGAATATGATCCAGGGTGATCATATAGCAGTTACAAAATTCAAACTGAATCCTGGATTCAAAAAATATATTCTTGAGAACGGAAGGAAAACTATCTTGGAGCTTGCCGAGTATGATGCCCTTAAGGAAAATCACACTAAATTCTTTCAAAAAGCACTTGATTTGTATGATGAAGAAGTTAGACTAGAAAAATACAAAATGGCTGGCAACAAATTGACAGATGAGGAAAAGGAGGAAAGTTTGAAAAATATTGCATTTGAAGGAACAACCGAAGAAAAATTGATGAAAGAAATTTTGAATGTTTTGAATGTTCTAGAACCCGAACAGAGTTTGATTGGAATAATGAATAAGCATATTACAGTTTTGGGTCAATGCATTAACTTTTTAAAACACCTCTTCTCTAATGACTTTGATGTTGTGGCTGATAATGCAACTAAAACATCTAGAGCGATGAAATTAGAAATGATTGGGAAAATGGAAACATTGAAAAAGAGTAAGTTTATGAAAATAAAAGCTGAAATGTTCATTAAAGAGATCCGAGATATCGGATCTATTGAGATCCATGATATCGGATCTCAAAGCTGGTAACCTAAAATACAAACGAGATTAATGCAAAAAAATGCTAGTAAATAAATGAAAGCGAACAAAAACGAGAGCTAGTTTAAACCAAGCATGGTCATGGATACGGATATGGATACAGATAATATCAAAATGCCTGCGGATATCCGCCTGTATCCGTCTGTATCCGCCGTAAATACCAAATCCGTATCCGTGACCATGCCTGGTTTAAACCACTTGAAAATGATAGTGATTGAAAAATATTTTTAAAATTGGTTCAGGAGAATAGGGGGTAATTATTAGAACAATTAACAGAATTGTTTTAAGATACTAAATTTACTTTTCCTTTAGTTTTGAATAGTACTCAGAAGATTCTTTTATTAATAAAGCATGAAAGGATTTAGAGAAGAATTCAATGAGGATATGAGCTAAAAAACATTTTTGCTAAATAATTTGTATTTTTAATATATGTAATTTATCATAAAATCTATTAAAATAAATTTAACTTTATTTCATAAATTATAATATTTGAGAGTATGGATACATTCTGAATTGAATCCCGTCTCGTTCCAGAACACGGCATAGCCGAATTATATGTAACCCGATATCTGAAGCTCTTTTTGATAATTCTTTAAAAAAAATTAAAAATCATTCTTACAAAACACAAAATCGACAAAAAATGATTACGTATTTTCTCGATTAATTCCCCTGGGGAATTATTTTTTAAACCTTTCTTGGATGGGGAATTAATTGAGGGGGGGGGAATTAATCGAGTTTTGGCATTTGAACGTGCAATAGGGTATTTGGGGTGGGGAATTATTGTTTCAACGCAACTCTAGCATAGGGAATTAATCGAGAGGGGGAATTATTCGAGGGAGGAGGTATACTAAAATTCAATAAATTATTGCATAACACTGAACGATCATAAATGCGACAGATTTGTCTGTTATTAAATTGAAAATTTTATTTGGCTTATCAATTGAATTTCTTCAGAATAAAGAAAATGAGTAAAATATCATGATTGTAACAAAAATTAGTTTATTACTTTAAAAATTCAGATTCATCTATTTTTCAGCATTCATTCATTATTTTGTTAATAGCTTCTAAATTATAGTAAAATAGCTCCAAACTTCCCCCAGTTCTTGCCAAAATAACGGGCATCCTTTCCTTAATTTTATCAGCGAATTTTGTTAAAATATTAGATTCTTCATTGTTTTTCCCCAATTCCAAATCTTCTATCTCATTATATGTTTCAATTCCAACCCACCAATATTGGATATAATATCCACTGAAATTATTTTATAATAATTATTTGTGTATTTAATTAGTTGGTAATGTTAGGGAAGAGAATGTCGGACGATGCTGTCGCCTGGAGCGGATGCTAAGATAGCAAACTGGTTGGAGTATAACCGGTTAGGAGCACAAAACGCCAAATTGTGCCATCAGAATCACATCAGACACCCAAAGGAACCATCGGAACCGAACAAGATATCCTGTAAATAAGGGTCTCTAACGGTTTTATTCAAAGATTGTAATGTTTGTTTTAAAATATAAAATTACCCATATTCTCTCTTAATTTCGTTTGGTAAACATTTTTCCATATCAGTAGAATGGGTATATTTTATCTCTCTTTGATTCAGTTCTATTGAAAAAATTAATTCTAAACGTATACGACTCTCCACAAAACGGCAATAATTTTCAGCTTCTTTAAGATCATTTTTACTTACAAAACACAAAATCAACAAAAAATGATTATACTGAAATTTATTTATTAATTCTTTCATCTTAACGATAAAAACCTTTTTCAAAAATTTAGTACCATCCAACCAATTTTTCCAAAAATTATTAAATTCTTCATATCCCCCATTCATATTTTTAGCATTCATTATCAAATTATTTCCTTAAAATACATAAAATTTAAAGAATCTTGTAGAAAGTAAGGCCATTTTTATAAAATACTGTATTAAACGAAAATTATTAACTAGAGATCGAGATTTTTGAAAAGTCTGGGCCTGTTCCTGGGCTCTGGGTTTGATTTATTGACCTGGGTCGGGTCCTGGGCCTGTAGTCCAGGAAAAACCCAGGCCCAGGAAAAACCCAGGAAGGTCAAAAAATGCATGTGCTCTGGGTACAGGAAAAACCCAGGCCTTGGTCCAGGCCCAGCTCGATCTCTACTATTAACCATAAAACGGAGGTACCGGTTCGAGAACCGATATTTTTCAAGATACGATTTTAAATCTGGTTTGACATTCTGTTCATCTATAAAATAATGTCCTGTCTTATATAATTAGTCCTTCTTAATTAATTAATCCATATAGCGCGAGGTTGAAACAATAATTTCCCAAGGTAATTATTTAAGCATATACGGTAAAAATATTATTTAATACCTTCATGCACTTTTTTTTGGATAATTTGTTTGGTCGAATAATTTACATTAAAAGCACAATTTTGTTCTGGATATCCAGGCATTAACACTACCATTAAAATATCGAAATGTCTTTGAAGATAAATCTTTTCCTCTTCTGATCTTGCAACATATTTGAGAAGAAAATCATTTTTAGCTTTAATTTCCTCTTCAACTGTCCAACTAATTGAATTTTGTGTTAATTCGCCTAGTTTAACTTGAAAATCCCAATCCCTAAATTTAATTTTAAATTGTGTTAAAATTTAATTTAAAAACCATTCACTATATGTTTGAAAAAATTTTTCTAATAAATAAATTATGGATGAATCAAAATAAAGCAACACAAGTTTAATAACAAGTACATTCAGAGTTGCTCCATTGAAGAAACCAAATTGTCCATTATATATGAAATGATCTGAATATAAAGTAACATTTTATGGTAATTCCTCGGTTCGTACCCCCCACTCCTTTTTCCTTCCTCAAAGTGTTAAAAAATGGTCAGTCAATCTTATGTTATAGAACACATCGAGCTGAGTCGAATGACACCAAAATCGACAAAATCAGACTTGATTGGACCGAGATACAGATCCCTGAAAATTTAACAACCACAGGGGTGATTTTTTGAAATTAAAAAAATTTAAGCAAATGATAGCTCATTCGAAAGAGCCGGTGTCGACGATTTATGTCATATCTTTGTCAAATCAAGTGCGGATCACGTTGATTTTGGTGTCATCCGACTCAGCTCGAAGAGCTCTTTCGAATGAGTTATCATTTGTATAAATTTTCATACTTATGGTTTTTCGCCCCTATGGTTGTTCATTATTCAAGGGTCTGTATTTCGGTGAAATCAAGTCGGATAATTTTGATTTTGGTGTCATTCGACACAGTTCGACGGGTTCTATAACCTAAACCTGACTGACCATTTTTAACACTTTGTGGAAGGAAAAAGGAGTGGGGGGTACGAACCGAAGAATTACCCATTTTATACAGTGAAGATTCATTTGGTCATAATTGTGTTTATAAGCCAAAAATTTTAATTTAAGACCAAAATTCTCCCTACGGCAACAACATCCGGAGCCCAAAATCCTATTGCCCAATATTGAATACTAACTTTTCAGTGTGGATTTTCGGACATCTAAACCATACCCAATTGCTAACTAAATTTTAAAAAGTATTTTAAAATTAGGTTTATCATGATTTTTTCTTAGTGAGGAGATCAGCATATCTTTAATAATTAACTACAAATTTAAATTAAATTTCACTTTTCGCCCATCTCTTCACAGTCTTTGTAATAAATTGAAATTTACTCATATTATCATTTACATTAATTATTTGTTGCATAATTTTATTAGAATTATACGAAGCTAAAGAATAAATTTGGGTTCTAATTTCCTTAATTTTTTCTCTATTTTCTGGTAAACCTTTGTTTAAATTTAATATTTCTAATTTTTGTGCAAATCCTTCAATTATTGCTTCCACTTGATTTTTATTTAAATTAATTATTGGAACTAAATTTTGAACAGTTTTTTGTTCAATTATTACAAATGAAATGTCAAATTGAGTTTTATTTATAGAAAATTCTATTATTCTGTTTCGTGTGTGAATATTTTTGCGAAGGTTGTGAATTTTATAGTTCTAAATTTTATTAATAAATTTAAATAAAAAGTGATTTAAAAATGGGGTATCGTATGAAACTGGGCAGGGATGTCTTATTAGAATTGAGATATTAGAAACTTGCTCACACAAATTGAGGTGCTCTACCTCAGAGCTACAGGTGCATAGACTAATGCTTTCTTTTTTATTTATCGTTTTAGATCGTTTACCCACGCTTAAGCGTTTTAAATTCTTATTGTTAGGTGAATCATCCTTCCAATTTCAAACAAAAATCTCGGTTATCGAGTTGAAATCTTTCGGGATATCTCTTAATCTAAATGATTATTTTAAGACAGAAATTTTATTTTTAAGATTTTTAAGATTCGAAATTCTTCAGAATATTTAAATTTTGTGTAATACTTCCCAGTTTGGTTTTTAAAATATTACTTTGCATAAATAGCAATATAATGAATGATCATTGCATTCTATATTTCCATGAGAATATTTACACAAATCATTATTTGGACTTCCATAAAATTGAACTAATTTATTAATTCCACAACCATCCTTCTCTTTTTTGTTTAAAACAACAATTGCATCAACATCAGAATCAGAAATATCTGTCTTTAATAATTGTGATCCGGTCAACAAAAATTCAATATAATAACATTTAGATAAGCTAGCCCATCTTTTAATAATTGAAACAACATATTTGATATCATAATGAATATTATTAGTAACAATAGATGAAGAATTTATTTGGTTAATAAGCTTTAAAAATGGTAATTAAAAATTTTTTATAGAGAAAACAATCTTTCTAAGTAGTCCAATCCTAAAATTATAGTGTGGACCCATGTAGAATGAAATGATTGGAGAGAAGGATAAGAAAGTTATTAACCTTACATTAAAGAGCTCCAGTATCAAGTACTATCCAATCTTTTACTATTTTCTGGGTTTGTTCGATCGCTTTACATTTCAAAAAATTGATGGGATTCTCCGAAAAAGATTCCCAGAATCAAATTTGTTATACTAGGGTGGTTTTTAAAACGGTAGTCTAGCACATTAATTTTAATAATAAGAGTAGTCTAACGAGTCTGACTTTTAATAATTTAAAAATATCTTTAATAATTTACTAGCTTACAGCATTTAGTGAATCCCTCTTTTGAACATAAAAATAAGGTAATTCTTCAAATATTGGCAATTCCTTTATTTTACCCATTTGCTTATTTGATTCTAAAATATTATTATTATATTTTTCTACATTTATTTATTTACACACCTATCAGTTGAAGCTGCCTTTTTTTTATTTTATATTGTTGGATAAATGTTGATTCAACAAAATTTTTTGAAAGCAATGAAAGTAAAATCCTTTTTTGTTGTTTTTGTTTCATTTGATCCCACCGACTTTTTGCTAATATTAAAGCAAGCCTTTAAATAAAAATAATTTTGAAGAATGTTTTTGTTTAGCAAAAATTATTAGAGTTGCACCCCGTGCCCCATTCCTCTTGCTCCGTACCACGACCATATTTTGTTTGCATTTCTAAACATCATACCCCGACAATCCCGCCCCCGAGTTTTTGGGGCACATCCATAACTTTTTGTGCATTACTGTATTTATCGAATAATTTCATTATCTCATACAATAACCCCCCATCTCCACATTAACCCCTCTATCAGTAAAAAGCTGAGTCTCAATCCCCGAATAATTAACCATTCTTGATTAATTACCACAGGTTGGAAACAATAAATATTTATCAAGATTACTTATTTGAGAATACTTTTTTGAGATTATCTTTGTATCTAAAGCATAACTAATACATGTATATGAAAAATCCTAGTCCGAATATTTTGACTAAATTATTAGTAAACCTTTTCTTGTGTAATTTGCTTTTAACTGCATCAATTTCAATATTATAGTCAATTTTTATTTCATTTGTTATATTTGCCAAATTCGTCCCATCTGTTAATAAAAACAATTCCTTCAATAACAAATGCAATTTATTCTTTAAAACTTCACATTTTTCAGAATCATCGACGAAATTATCGTTTTCTTCTAGTAATTTAATAAAATCTTGTTCTAATGAATATTCATTTTGATATTTTTGAATAATTTTATCTTTAATTTTCACTAGAATTTTATGTTTAAACAATTTTAATATAATCATTGAGGTAAGTTAAATTATTTATAGAATTCGGTTCTGAGATACCTACTCCATAAATCCTTATTAACTCTACTAGACACGCATAAATTTTTACTTTTTTCCATAAAAATGTGAGATGAATAAGGATTAGTGTTATTCAAACGCGATTCTTCGGTATCGATATTTTCGGTAAAATAACGATACCGAAAAATACCGATTTTTTAAAAATTGTTCGGTACCGAATTTGGTATCGGTATTTCGGTAAAAATACGGCGGTATTACCGAAAAATACCGCCGTAATACGGTATCGTGAATAACACTAATAAGGATCTTCATCTGGCAGCAGACGAATTTATATTAATATCAGTTCCCGGGTTTCACTTTATTTCATTATTTAAATAATTATCATGGGTAATTACTGTTCAATCTTTCAATGGAGTAATTATTTGAGGTTGTTTAGAGTGATAATTATAACTATTATTAACGGAGTCTAGCTCGAGGGGATAACTTATAATTATGCCAATCATACATTTTTACGAAAAGAAGTCAAGTGTAAAACAAAATGAGAGCAGATAACAGTCAAGTATCAAATCCCTACCTCCTAAACTTCCGAATAAATTTCTTGATGAATTTTTATATTCTTCACTATTTACTTCTTTTTCAATCTTATTTTGTTTAAATTTTTCAACGTAAACAAAACGTTGTTTAATTTCATCAATAATCACTCCAATTTCCAACGCTGGAATTATTTTTTTTGGATCTCCTTTACCTCCAATAAATTTTTCATACGCTTCGAATAGTGCTTTTTCCTCTAAAAACATTCTTGGATGAAAAGGTGTAAATTTTGGAAATGCTTTGAAGTTTTTATGATTTCCTTTTGAAATTCCTTCAGTAAATGGATCATTATTATCGTCTTCTTCCCCATTTTTCAAAATATTTTTCTCTTTTTTATTTACTATATCATGTTTCTCTTCATCCTTATTGGGATTTTTAAATAATTTCTTATCATTCGTCCTCAGTAGATCCTCGTTAGCTTCATTTAATTCTTCATTATTTTCCAAATCTGCAATCCTTTCTTCTTCTAATTCTTCTTTCAAATCTTCATTCTTTTCCTCCTTCAAATCTTTGTTTCCTTCTTCTATCAGCTTTTTATTGTTTTCTTCTTTCAATTCATCTTCCATATCTTCAACTTCTTCATTATCCGAAAAGTTTTTAATTTTTATATTTTTGTTATTTAAATAATTTTTTAAATCCATCTTCTTACTATTATTCAAAGCTAGTAATGATTTAATATCTTCATCCTCTTTTATTTTTAATTTCCTCAATCTTTCTTCTTCTCTGATTTTTTTCTTCTCATCCTTTCTCTTTTTCATTTGATCTTTTTTATTCATTTGCCAATCATCATCATCATCGTTTTCTTCATTCACTTCATTTTCCTCGTCCAACACAATATTATCCTCCACTATTATTTCTTCATTTAAATCCAAATCCTCATCCTTTATCTCAACATCGCTTTCTATGTTTTGCTTATCTTCCTCAATATTATTTTTATTTGTTTTCTTAGCTTTCTTGTTCCGCCTTTTTCTTTGTTTTTTGGAAGGCCCATTAATTTTTATATTATTATTTGTTGTCTTATCTATTTTAGCTGCATTTCCTGTAGAATTTATCTCATTCGCAATATCTTCTACATAATTCATTAACTCTGTAAAAGGTACAAATCTTTTTAAACTACGTCTATAGATTTTTCAGAAAATCAGTATGATTAATTTTATACGTTAACCTAAGATTTTCCATAAATCAAACCTCATTTTATTAACACGTATCTTCTACTTTATAAACTTTCTAAATTCCAATAGAGGCATATAGAAAATTCCAAAAAATTAAGAGAATATGTGGAGATAACTAGGGATTTGTGAAGCTTAGGAGGGATTAGATAAGTTGGAAGTGGTGTATTAATGGATTTTAATGGATATGTAAAACCAAGATTTTCACTTACCTAAACTAAATCTAAACGTATTTTATTTATAACTATCCACTAGAGCAACAATATTTTAATTAACAATAATCTTTTTCAAAAATAATATAATTTACTAGAAATAAAATTTTAAATATTAAATTTTCACCTTTCGTGCTCTTCTTTTCCATGCCAATATTTATTTGTGGACTTTTATCTTCATCATTCTGTAATTCTGTTATTATTATGTAAATAGTAAATTTATTCATTGATTCAACTCCGAATACATTGATAAATTTTGTCAATATATCTTTGTCTCTAGCTAGGAAATCTTTAAAAATAAAAAAAACTAATAACAGTGTTTATTCTAATAAAATATAGCTATTCCTTTATTAATATCGCTTTTCTGAATATTATCTAAATATCCGGTTTCTGGTTTTGAAATCCCCGTCCCATAAATATTTTGATACTTTATTCAAAACATACAACAAATCTCTTTATACAATTAGGTTTAGATGACATGATATTTGCATACAAAAAAGTATTGTAAGCATATTTTCATCCTTATTAGCAGAGTTTAAAACGCATAGGCTGGGTTTAAACAAACGAAAAAGAATAAAGTTTTTTGTCGCCCGGTAGCTGCATGTTAGTGCGAGGCCAACTAGCCCAGTTGCCATTCTATTATATTAGAATAGTAAGGATTTATGAAAAAATACCTTTAATAAATTTTGTACGGAAATTAATGTCCAAGTCACCGTTTTTAAACAATTTTATAAAATATTGATATCTTTCTTCTTTCATAGCATTTATAACTTCGATAAAGTCATGTTTGGAAGTTTTTGTTAAAAGATCATCCACTATAACTTTCCATTCGATCTTAAGATTAAATTACAAATTACTATGTATTATTTATGTATAGTTATTTTTATATAGTTATTTTTATGTATTTATGCAATTACATGTGGAGTGGGGTGTTATATGCATATTTTCATCCAAAATATTCGTGGGTTATTTATTCATATTTCCTTTGGTTAAAATTAATTCTAAAGTACAATTATATCGGTCTTAACCATACCACCCCTCCCTCCACCCACCATCAACTTATAGAAACCTGTAAATCCATTATAAATGAACTTTTTTTTGAATTTTTATATTCCTTTGCACACTTTTTGGTCTTTTTTTCTCCAACTGTTTGAATCATGAACAAATAAAAGGCAGGAAATCTCGCTTTAATTATATTTAGTGAATCCAAATCATTGTTTTTATCAAGAAAAAGACAATAAGGTATATCTATTTTTTCTTGCTCTAGATTCCAGGCATCTAAAGTCCAAAGCCTCATCTTTCTTGTAGTAATATTTGCACTCCATTGTTCAATAGATTTTATACTTTTTTCCATATATTGATGCCAAATAATATAGTCAATGGCTAAATGATTCCGTATGGATTCTTTTTCGTTGGACCCATAGAAAATTTTATAAAAGTGTTGAGCCGAATATCTATAATCATCATACACTAAAATTTTTAGACAATAGATTTAATTTTCAGATTTATACTCTTTTGAGTTAAGAAAAGAAATATAACTCTCTAAGGAAGATAACTCTCTTAAAAACCCTTCTCTCAAATAATTTTCACTCCTCGAATAATTACTCATCTATTATTGAAACAATAATTCACTTCCCCAGGCCCTACTGCATGTTCAAAGGCCCTACTACATGTTCAACCCTCTCTAGCGAGAGATCGAAACAAGATGTAGCCATCGCAATTATTTAAGTAAATACGGTATTTGTTTTAGTTAAAGATCAAACGGTTATTTCAGATAATTTTTAAATTTCCAAACAAATACATGAGTATTTAACTTACGTCCTCTACATTCCTCCTTGAGATGATGATTATTAACACATGGTTCTTCACAAGGGTCCAACGTTTTTGCTAGAGGAAGTAAAATTAATATAGAAATTTTAGATAATAATTGACAACGATTCATCAAAAAAATTTCTAAAATTTTTAAAATAAATAAAATATTTTAAATGTGTTTTATATAGACCATCTGAGGGAGTTTTATTTCAGTAGTGATTTGAATTAGAACTGCTAAATATCACGACTTTTTAAATGTTATTTTCTTTCAAAATTTAACCCCATTTAAGTGTTTTGAATGGTGGATAATGAATTCTCTTACAATACATACATTTATTGTATGAGAAAATTAACAAGTATTGTAAGAGAAATATGACATGCAAATGAGATCCGGCACTTTATGAAAGCCTGCCTCATATAAGATTTTCTGTATTAAAGGTGTCGTTTAAGGAAATAACCTTTTTATTATTAAAAGTTAATTATTAGACGTTAAACATTTATAAAAAATAAAATCTGGCATGTCTATATTTTATAAATAGCCAAAGCAATTGGGCGGCACTCTTTAATAAATATAAGTGCAATATTGAATACAAAAAGATACAAAAAGTGCATTCATAAATAGACATATTCACGTGAATAACACTAGACATGCTGAACTAAAGTCTGTTTTAATAAAATGCCAAACCAGAAACCTTCCACAATCCACTCTCAACAGGCATTTAATGGGTTGTCAGATAAATAATGAGCCCTTTGCGCATTTTTAGTCTTTTTTTATCTATAGGTATTCGAATTTTAGTTAGAATTATTTTAAATTTACTAGAGTCGATAGTTCACGCTTTTTTCTACTAGCCAGAACCATTTAAAAAATAAATTTATATTTTTGCAGTTTTTTAAAAATTTTTTTAAATTATGTCCTCAAAATCTGAAATTCGGGCTGTTATTTTGTTTTGCTTCAAACGCGGTCTAGGTACAACTCAATCCAAAAAAGAAAATGCCGCCTTGAAGAGCACAAGTTGGGCATCTTTTGCATCAATTAAGCGATGTTACAAAAAATTCCGTGATGGAGATAAGGGTCTAGAAGCCAAAATCCCCAAATTTGGGCTAAATTTGGGATTTTACACTGGGAATTAACTCCTAAGGGCAATGGATTGCCGGGCGAACTCTAAAAAACAATATTGGACATAGTTCAGATTGCCATCGGTGGTTTCACGTTCGTTATGATAAGGTTGTCTTTCAACAGGTAACTGCACTCTTGCGTCGCGCGAACGCAACTCGAGCCTACATCACGGAGACACTCGGATGGGAACTTTTAGTTGATCCTCCTTATTCTACGGATATTGCGCCGTCTGACTAGCAGTTATTTCGTTAGATGAAAAATCATTTGCGGGAGGTGAGGGGCCAAAACAATGCTCAACTCTAAAATTGGGCTGCCAACTTTCTTAATACCAAATCTGCCACTAAATTTTATCAAATGGGAATTCAAAAACTGCCAAGCAATAGGCAAGAAGTAATAGATAATAATGGACATTAAATTGTTTTTTGATTTCATTTCATTATTCAGTTATAGTAAATTGTATAATTTATGCGCAAAGGGCTCATTATTTATCTGACAACCCATTATATGTATAAAGGTCTTGGTAGGACCATTATTTTTAGCTAAGAGCCAGGTCCAGACCGAGGAAATCTCATAACCTTGCCGATCGGTTTGGCAAATTTTGAAAACCGTTCTTCTATTACTTTTATACACTAAAATATTTTCGTTTTTTAACTATTTAGGAAATTATTTAATATAATTATTAATAATTAACGAAGATGGCGTCTTCTAAGTGCTGCATGAACAAGTTTGTTATATGCAGATAAACGTCTACTTGAAGTCGATTGTTCTCCAAGACTATCTGAACTGGTTTCAGATGCTGCTAAATATTTTAAATTATTTCTATAAAAATTCCGTATTATTATCACCCTTTACTGTTCCTCCTCCATAACCACCACCTCCCTCAGATTTTGCTTCATAAGCTCCAACTTCTGGCTTTTTTGTTGCTTCAGGAGCACTTTTATTTGGCACAGCAGCACCGTAATTATTAGCTGGATGAGTTTCAGGCGGTTGATACGGTGGTGATGGGGATGGAGCTGCTGGAGGAGCGGACCCTACATCAACCCCTTTTGAACGTTCAGGACAAGGACAATATTCAGCATCGGCGCCTATTTTAATTAGTTTATTAATTTAATAAAGATAATATTCTAATTTACCAGGCAATCCTTGGGCACCAGGACTTCCATTTATGCCATCTTTTCCTTTGTCGCCGCGAGCACCTGGAGGACCAATAGGTCCTTGGGGACCTTAAATTTATTTGAAATTTATTTATTAATTTTTATGAAGATTTACGAACCTGGTGCAGCATCATCACCTCTATCACCGGTTGGGCCCTCATCTCCAGCCTCACCGGGCGGGCCAGCAGCTCCCTTCGGTCCTGGATCTCCTTTTGCATATCCAACGCCTTAAATATCCATCAAATATTTAAAAGAAATGATTATAAATCTTTTACCATCCTCTCCAGGTGTGCCTTTCACACCTGCATCGCCAATATCACCAGGAAGACCGATTTCCCCTTCCGGTCCCTCATCTCCAGGTTGTCCATCTCGACCAGGGGCTCCAGGAGATCCTTTTGCTCCTTTATCTCCTCTTGGACCTCTTTTGCCTTTATATCCAGGTAAACCGGTTGGACCAGCAGGACATTTCCCACAGCCAGGGGTTACAGTCTCTCCATAAGCATTTCCAGGATCAGAAGCTACTTGACTGCTTCCTGAAGCACCTGCAGGACCAGGTTCTCCATCCATTCCTTGAGAAATTTAAATACAATAATTTATATAAATAAATTAGGTGTACAC